AGGCAGGGCGGGGCGGAGACTTGGAGGCGGGGTTCAGTGTCAGGGAGGAGTGTGGATCCTGGGCCCGGCTCTGAGGCTTTAGACCCGATTATGGAGTTCGATGGAGGCTTGAATGAGCAGCTTAGAGAGGAGCCCTGGCCTGGGACCAAACTGTAGTGTGGAGAGGAGACAGGGCTAGGTGGTAGGCGGGCCTCAGGCCTGGCCCGAATGTGGAAGCAGGGCCGGCCGGGAAGTCGGGAGCTCACCCGAGGCTCGACGCCGCACTCTGGGACGCTGATGCTCAGTGAAGGCTATGGATGGCGTGTTGGGCTATGGTTTGATCCAGGTGTCTCAGTGTCTTGTATCCTCTGCCCCTTCCTGTACTCCATTCTCTCATCTGCAGAAAAAGAAACCGTTTTTTAACTTCACTGGAAGTGTTGGTAAAGTCCTTTGAGGGAGCCGGCAAGTGGCATTGCGGTTAAGGTGCTGGACTCCCACATGGTGGACTATGGTTCAAATCCTGGACCTGGCTGCTTTTTTCTCTTTTTCTCTCTCTCTTTCTCTGGTGAAATTGAAGACTAATGATAATAAATAAGATTAAATAAATAATACCGAAAAAAGTGCTTTGAGGCCAGCGGCAGTTGAATACAAGGAATTTTGTTGCCAGCATTGACATGGACAGGACAGCTAATAATCTTCAGGACAAATAAAGTTACCTAATTGCTTAAAGCTCAGAGGTGTTAGGGGTGGGCTGTGTCTTACTGTGTACCTTGCCTGACATTTTCGACTGTGAAAGCTGAGTACATGTCTTACAGTTAAAGAGAGCTCATTGTTACCAAATGTTAAATAATGTCCAGCAGGAAGACAGAATCCTAGATTGATGTCGTAAAAATGCAAAACAGAATCAACTGATAGTTAAAAACCCTGCCTTACTGGTCACCTGAATTCTCCTCCAGTAAATATTAAGAGCCTACTAGGGATGGCATGTACATCCGTGACATTCCCAGCACATAGTGGGATCAGTCCCATGTGGGTGGGAATAACTGTCACCAGGTCACACAGGAGTGTCCACCCGAGATTTGGGAGGTAAGTAAGTGGCAGAAAGAGAAAACGAGATGACGGACATTTAAGTTAAGCCCTACAGGAAGGGTTAAGGGTGAGTTGGCTGTCAGAGTGAGGGGTAGGTTCAAAAGTGTTTTATAATAGTTAAGAGAAGGCAGCTTTCAACAAGGATTGGAATAGAAAGACCTTCCAGGTGACTGGGTATTTGTGAGATGGGAGTAACAAGACTGAGAATATTTAAACAGTACCAGAGCATAGATATCCTACGCTAAATTAGGAAGATGGGACTATATTCTAAGAATAGTGAAGGGACAATGAATGGTTTTTAAGCAAGAAGGATGAGGTAACCAGAAGGTTATTTTCTTTGTTATATGAAAACTGTGCTAAGGTGAGCAATAGGTGACTAGTTTAAGAATATTACAATAATTTGCCTGACCAGTTAAAAATAATTTACAATAGGCCCAGCCCCATAGCCTGGGAATTAAGAGAGTCAGAATCCACGTGGCTGACCTTCCTTTGACTCCTGGTGCTGGTGACTTAAAAAACACACAAGCGGGACCAACAGGTGGTGTGGTGGTTAAGGTGCTGGATATTCCCATATGGCCGACCATGGTTCAAGTCCTGGACCTGGTGGCTTGCTTTCTCACTTTCCCTCTCTCTCTCTCTCGGTTTCTCTCTGGTCAAATTAAAATAAATGAATGAATAAATAAAATAAAGTAATTATTTTTAAAAAAAGAAAAGAAAAAAAACACACAAGGTGCCCGTGTATGCATGCCCAAAGTCCTGACAGGATAGCGGAATGGAAGAAAGAGGATGCAGTGTGACCATGCCCTGTTGAAGGATGCTTTCTCTCTCTCTGATTTTCTCGAGAGAGTGCACACACCTTCTAGCAATTGAAAAATAAAAATGTTGGGACCAGTAGATGGTTATAATGATTACGTCGCTGGACTCATGTTAGAATCCCAGATCTGGTGACCTAAAGTTCATACCAGGCATGTGTGCATGTGTGCCCAAAATCCCAAGAGAAGAATGGAGAAGGGATTGTGGCATGGCCATATCCCCCCCACCCCCGGAGGGGGACTTCTTGCCTTCTATCTCTCCGTCTTTCTCTGTCTCTTTGGTAAACACATGCATCTTATAGCAAAAATCTCTCTAAAAAATAAAAAAGTTAAAATAATTCAGAGATGGTAGTTTCAACCACAGATGCAGCCATGGAGATGAAATTTAGATGGAATCCAGAGACATTAAAATGGAGCTTTTAAACAAAAAAGGACCTTGGCGACTGATTAGATTTGGGGGTTTAAATCGGAAAGAAGGTGAGGCTGGCATCCAGGTTTCTGGTTAGAATAACTGAGACCTGGATCACCAGGAAGAGAAACCTGGTGTCAAAGAAACTTAAGGCCTAGCTCTCCAGGGGATGTCCAGGTGGAGCCATGCAGTAGACAGAATGCGTGAGTCCGATATCAGGAAATGCATTTAGAGCTTTTATAGAAATGGAATCCTAAGCCAAGTGACCACGAAGCCATGTAAGGTAGAGGCTGTCTGACTCACTTGTGGCATGGTAATATCTGACTAGACACAGTCCATCATGAGATAGACGTGGTTCCTCCAAAATGAGGCATGAGCAGAACCAAAGGGGACAAGTGAGCTGTACAAACGGGCAGCCCAGGCCCCTGCTATCAACCACCACAGTTGCACAACTGCCCCTCCCTCAGTTTTTGCCTGTACCTGCATGGAAGATTCTATTTACGACCAGCTGATGGAGAAGGAAAAGGCCTGAGCTTGGCTCATGGGTACATCAGCTCAGCATTTGGGGGAAGGTGAAAAGAGATAGCAGCTGCAATCTAGCCTCAACCTATCATGTATCATCTATCTATCTATCTATCTATCTATCTATCTATCTATCTATCTATCATCTATCATCTATCAATCAATCTATCTATCTATCCATCTATCTATCTATCTATCATCTATCATCTATCTATCTATCTATCTAGAGAGAGAAATCGACAAAAAACAAATCAGTAAATATTAACCATCAGGGAATCTCGATGGCAAGAGTTCATTACATTGTTTTTGCAACATTTCTTTAACTTTGAAATCATTTTGAAATAAAAGTTTCCAGGCCAGCTGGTAGCATGGAGGTTAAGGCAACTGGATTCCATATGACTGACAGCTCAGTTCAAATCCTGGGCCTGGTGACTTGAGAAGCACACTGGGTGCTTGTGCAAGTGTGCCCAAAATCCCCTGCAGAGAATGGAGGAGAAGGAATGCGGTAAGGCCATTCTCCCAACCCCTGTTCCCCGGGAAGTGCTTTCTATCTCTCTCTCTTTTTGAAAGCACATATAGCCATTTAGCAAATACATATAACAAAATTGCCATGTAGTGAAATTACAATAAATAAATAAATGTTCACAAAACTAAAATAGAAGATGGGTTTCTCATATCCCCCAAATCCCATGGAGAGAGCCAAGTTGGTATTCTCCACAGAGGTTGGAAAATTTATGATTACTTGGTAACAGTGGATTGGTGACTGATTAATTACCCAGCAGAGTGCTTATTCTTTTAGGTCTTATAGAATTAAAAAAAAAAAAAACAGCTACCATAAAATTTGTTTTTAATTTTGGAGAGGTTTTTTGCCATAGGGCATGTGTACTCGCCAGACAGACAGGGAGAGACATAGAGACAGAAAGCGAGAAATCACCCTCCCGGGGGAATGGCCACACTGCAGTTCCCTCTCCTCCACTCTCTTCTTGGGATCTTGGGCATGCACGCACACGCACCCGGCATGAGTTTTAAGCCACTGGGTCTGGGACTTGAACCACGGTCGACCACATGGTAGTCCAGTGACAGCCATTACGCTAACCACTGGCCCCTAACATAAATTTTTTAACCTATAAAATTAAATCTTGAGACAAAGAAAGTTTGTCCTGGGAATAACAAGAAAGCAAAAGTTTGTCAACAACTGACTCATCTCCACCATTAAACTGGCCCTTCTTCTTGTAGAGTTTATTGTACTCATTTGAAATTGAATCATAGTTTAGAAGTAGCTGAATTATGGGGCGGGGGGGGGGAGTTGTGAAAAGATGGTTGAGAATACAGAGAAACCCCAGACCCTGAAATTCAATGTTGGTAAAAAGAGACTTGAGGGTATAGTTAACACCAAAAAGGAATACGTACTCTTTTGCAAGAAAAGCTGTACACTCATTATTTTTACT